ATGAGTCTCAGCTGGACAAGAGGGTTCTCCAGGACCCTGTCATTTTGTTGAAAAGATTTTGTTGATTGCGTTGAACGTCCAGCTCACCAGATCCATAATCGTATTTTTCATTTGGGAGATGTGTACCAGGAGCTCCAAACACACAGAAAGCAAAGCAGGAGGAAGGAGAACAAGGGGAGGGAGTGCAGGAGTGTCCACCTTGAGCAAGCGCTAGATTAGGAAAACAAACAAACAAAGAAGTTCAGAAGGCACACTACATTAGTGATTTTCTTCTTCACTATACTTACCCCCTCATGAGGCAGCACCCTAGAACAGTCTTTCGACAACACAGCATCCATCTACACATGATGACGTGTCAATGAACTGTTGCATCATGTTTAGGTCCACATGTCGCCTCCTGGTCCTTCAGTCGTTTCCAGGATGAACATGCATAATATCAGCTCAATCGTTAAGTCTTAACTCATTGCAACTCTGCTGGATATTGAGAACTAGTTTCAACAGTTGTTGTCAGTCTTGCTGCAGGATAGAATACAACTACAACAGTTGGAAATTCCTCAGGGAGGGGGTAGTGAGCGTCAGATTGTAAGGATGGTACTTTTCTGTGGCCCGGTTTGTGTCTGTTTCCCTCGTGCTCCCTCATTAGTTTCCATTGTTGCCACCTGTGTCTCGTCCCAGCTGTTTATCACGTCTCGTCTTGTCCCTGTATTTAAGCTGTCCTATTCTGTCTTGTTCTTTGTCGGGTCGTCTTCGTTGGGTACTCTTCCTTGGGTCTCCTGAGTCTTTCCCTGAGTCTTCCTGGTCCCTCAAGTTCCCCATGTCTCTTGTGTCTCCTGAGTTCCCCGTGCCTCCTTCCTAGTTCATGTAAGTTTTGCTGCCCCGTCAGCTTGTTTATTTTGTACTTTTCGTTTATCATTAAAAGCCTATTTTTGTATATCTGCCGAGTTGAGTCCTTGTTCTACACTCTGGGTTCGCTCCTGACACAAATCCTAACAGTACGACCCGACCAGAACAGAACCCAGCGGGCAGGGTTCTCACTCGGCAACACTCACCTTTTTTCTTTTTTCTCTCCTCGTGCCGTTATGGATGAGCTCCTCTCCGTCTCTGTCCTTCCGCCGTCCCACCGCCGCCGTAGTGGCAGAAGACGATTCCGGAGGCAGTCTGCGGCGACCGGCCCGGTCTCGTCGGCCGAGCAGAACTTCAGAGCTGGTTCCGGTGTTTTCGTGGGAGCGGGGTCCGTCGCTTCACCTCCCAGGTTTCCGGTGGGGGCGAGATCCAGCGTCCTGCGGGAGCTCCGGTCCACTCCTGTTCGGTTCAGTGAGTCCGGTCCGGCTGACGTTACAGGGGCGGGTTCCGTCGCCTCACCTTCCAGGTTCCTGGTGGGGGCGGAATCCGGCCTCTCACCGCCACTCCGCGTCGCCGCTGTTCGACCCAGCCCGGCCGTACCTCCGGAGAGTATTCATTGTGACTCCGTGGGGGCGTGTCCCGCCGCCTCACCTTCCAGGTTTCCGGTGGGGGCGGCACCCGTCACCACACCCACTCATTCAGACATTCCCCTTTTTCATTCTTTTTCCCCAAGATATTTTTCATATTAATCAGACAATTCTTGAACTATTTAATTCTGCTAAAAGAGACCCGTCCTCCTTTGATTTAGTTTTGTCCCAGATGGAGGATTTTTTGCTTTCTATCCCAGGCCTTTCTTTGCTCCCCGAATATGATTTTTTATTAACCGAATTAGAGACTCTAAAGACTCCAGTTACAGCCATTCCTGAGGTGGACTCCACGCTGCACGCAGCCATCCCTGAGGTGGACTCCACGCTGCACGCAGCCCCTGAGGTGGGTCCTCATCTCTCCTATTCCGAGGGGGTCCCGGCAGACGCTCCTCATCTATCCTATTCCGAGGGGGTCCCGGCAGACGCTCCTCAACTCTCCCAAGTCTCCAGAGGGGTCGGCGCTCTCCACGTCTCCAGAGGGGTCGGCGCTCTCCACGTCTCCAGAGGGGTCGGCGCTCTCCACATCTCCAGAGGGGTCGGCGCTCTCCACGTCGTCTGCTGCAGAGCCACAGGCCTCTCCGTTGTCTGTTGCAGAGCCACAGGCCTCTCCGTCGTCTGCTGCAGAGCCACAGGCCTCTCCGTCGTCTGCTGCAGAGCCACAGGCCTCTCCGTCGTCTGCTGCAGAGCCACAGGCCTC